GCACGGCGGTGTAAGCGACCCATACTTGTTATCATTCATGGAAGGACAGGAAAGAAAAGACTCCTGTAAATATTACCAAAGTATGCCCTCGTCTGCGATTTCCCTCTCCACTAGGTATGCCATGTGATGTGTAAAGGAATAGAGGAATTGATGAGAAACAGAGAAATGTGGAGACTTAATTGGTTAAAGATATAGAGGTATGAAAGAAGGATATAAGGGAAGAAATACAGAGCTATGAAGAGAAAAAAAAGCATGCCGCTTGAACTCGAAGGTTATATTATGGTTCTTGTGAGATAAGTAGATACACTGATAGAACACGTTTGATTTTTTATATTGGAAATATGAGGAAGTGTTTCATTTATTTCAAGTTACTTTTTTTCCGTTTTGTTTTTTAAGTGTATGCCATAGGTCGAGATTCAGTCAGAGTATTTCTGAGTTTCATGGAAACCTATTATTCTAATTCTTGCTTTCTGTCTCTTTTCGGGATGATAAAGAGGCCTGTGTGTTCCTGTATAGTGGAAGTGATTATGAGTACAGGAGAAAAGCCCCCAATTAGTGTCCAGTGCATGTGTGGTGAAAGAGATGATGTGGTGGCAGTCCCTACACGAGAATATCAGTTGGTTTGTTAAAATTGTGCGAGAACCGACCCAAAGAATAATTGTATAATTGACATGTGTAGATAAAGAAATAAATGCATATTTATCAGTCTAGACATCCATATCAACTAGGCAAATAGATTGATAAATGTATATCTATCAAATATATAGACAGAAGCATTTATTTCTGTGTAAATGCATGTCTGTATTTATGAATATTCATCGGGTAGGGCCTTGCACAATTTTTACAAATTGGCCGTATGTTACCACTCAATTAGGTTAAGTTAGGGTCATACTTATTACCCAGAAATAAAGTTTATATGTAAATATACATATATGTTACATACTTCTAACAGTGAGAAATCAGATTAGGCCCAGTATGGAAAAAATAGCTGGTGCACACCCAAAATTTTTGAGTTCCTGGTTGCACACCTGAGTGAGTGTAAATGTTGATTTGCAGATTTTGATAAACAAATGTATCCTTACTTGTAATTTCAAAAGAGTGTTTTTTTTATACCAAATTGAGTTATGTTATTATTATTTATTTTTATTTTATTTTTTCTAATAGCTATGCTATCTCTTCACACAATCCTGTTTTGAAAGTTTTGTAATAAAATAAAGGGAACTGTCATTAAGGTGCAATATTCTATTTGATGTATATTTCTGTAAAAGTTTAAAATAGACTTGCATTTGTCAGAGACTAAGTTCCCAACTTGAGCTAATGAGTATATGAACTCCATCCCTGGTAAAAAAAACTATCACAAAGATAGCCATATGAACCAAGAACCTTCGTAACTCAGGAAGTTTTCCCCCAGACCCCCTACCGATTGCTATATTTCCCTAGTCGATGTATATTTTAACCCTGTAAACATTGTAAGTAATTTGTAAAAATCTGGTTTTTGAATGTTATTTAAATGTTTACTGTAAATATGGAATGTGGGTCACTTGGTTTCTTAACTTTCATGTAGAGAATTACAACATAAATAGTGAGAATAGATGATATTCTGTAAGATATAGCATATGTTGCTATCTTATATTTTAAAGTATATTTCTACTGGGTAAATTGAAGATGATATTCTTGTAGAGGACATAAAATTGCAGTTGTTGGTAAAAGGTATAATTTGCAGACATGATTGGTAACACCACAAATGAATTAAAAGAATTTTGTAAGCACGATTCACAGACTAAGTCCACTTAGTCTGCATCAACCCTCCCATTGGACAATCCCTGAAGGACAGAGCCAGTCACAACAGCTTAGATTATTGAATAGTTGGAGTTGGAGATTTACTCTTCGTCATTCGTATTTTTTAAAAGCGTTTTTGGAGGATTTACTCACATGCAGTGTAGTTTCATTTTGATTCCTGATAGCCTTTCATATCTCAGAGATAATGTGTAGGGTGCTGGTAAATGCATATCATGCATAAATGTGGTTATCATTACTGGAATAGATAGCATTTAATTGACAATTTATAGTTATGATAAGCACCAGTTTGCTGTTAGGTATCTATTTCCTTGCTTTTAAATTTTCTTTTAATTGCATTATTAAGGCTTAAAAAGATTTGCTGTGAAAATGAAAGGTTCCTTATGTTATTTCTATTTATTTATTGATTATTGATTTATCTGTTTTTTGTCATATGATTCAAGAGCAACTAGTCCAACAACCAAGTTGTCCTTTGTGTGTAGTGGTATCAGCCTCTATATTTGACTTATGCTAGATGATTGTGAGTTTTGGTTTCAAAATATATTTAAGTATAGTTTCAGATAATAGGATTATAATTTATAGTGTAAGGACTGAATAGATATGTGAATTCTAAGACATTTTTCTCTTATACCATAGCAGTTGCAAATCCAATACAAGAATACTATTAAATTTCAAAAATAGATTTTAAGATGACTGAATTAATCAATACAGCTAAAAACCAGTGCTTGTGTGTTCGCTCCTGTTAAATGTTTTCTCTTCACCCCGGAAAGCATGATGTCTACACATTCTCCATTATTATTAAGAGCTATATTTAACGTGACACAAATAGATCGCAATAGAGAGCAAAGTTGTATTCATTTGAATCATGACAACATGTATTTAAAAGATATTTTAATCTTTGATCGTTTTGATGTATTTTGTAAATTGAGCAACTTTGTAATTTTTTATTTGCTTCATCTATGCTCTGGAAAGAAAATATTTGGGTGAATCTTGAAGATATTTGTGCTAGGAAAATGATATGTTTTCCTGTTAATTTATTGCTTTCAGTATTTTTAAACAACTGGCTAGGCCCAGGGATGGATTTGTTATTGTGCATTAGCTCTTTGCTATATTGCCTAGTTTATTGTTTTTAACATGCTGTATTATTTGTTTGGTCACCACCTTGTCTTTCACTACCAAAAGTAAGAGAACCTGAATGTTTGGATAATCTTCTGGCAGCAGTATATCTTCATTTAGACACTGAACATGTAGTGGTTCTGTGCAATGTGGCCAAAGTCGACTGTGATGGCACTAGAACTATCTATGTTGACACAATATTTTTCTTGTTATGAAATGCCATCCACAACCAGTAGGTTAAATTACATACCATTTGTACTATTTGACCATGATAATCAAAGATTGTAATATAAGTTGGTGATTGTCCAGAATGATTCTAATGACAATTTCCATTAATCATAATTATTTTAGATTACCTTCATGGATCAAAGAAATACAGTGCACCACTCTCCCCTGACAGGACATCTTGACTGGACTAATACTTGACCCTTAAAACTGTTGACACTGGTTGGCAATGCTTTAAGATTATATGTTCGGTAAAGCATACAATATCTTTGCATCTCTTTTTATGGAAGAAAGTATATTATGTTGGAAAATTAAAGGTTTTGTTTGATATTTGTGTATAGAAGGAAACTGAATAGAATTGATTATTGAACAGTAGTCCGTATGTTAATCTTTGGTTGATGATACTAGTTGCATAAGTAATAGTTTTCTTATTTACAAATTAGCTTTTAGTTTATTAACTATAGGAAGAGTAAAGTTATTCATTAAAAAAGGGTAAACTGCTGTTTTGATAAAGAGCAGTAATGATATAACAAAAAATTGGCAAACACTTCATCAGGAACTATAGGTAATTTGCTCAAACCACTTTGATGACTTAAATTATTTATGTAAGATAGTTTGTAATTAGTACAGAGAAGCATGTTGACATCCTAATATATTTAATATATCTTAACCCCGTTAGATTTGGGTGAGTCATGGCTCGCACATAGACCAAAATCTGGCCATTAGGCATATTGAGTAGTGACTCTCCTGCGTGGCTTGACCCACATGAACACACTTGCACAATATTAAAGCTCTGTGCCTCCTCTTTTCATGCAATTAGTTCTTTTTCTACTCTAGCTGTTTTACTATTTTCCAAGGTCTATATATTTCTCATTTCATTTGTTGTTTCAAATTGGTAATAGAGTGTGTTCTTAGAAAAAATTAGATGTTATCTCTCTAAGTAGTATACAACTCTGTTGAATAACAATAATAATAAGCACTTGTGCTGTTTTTTTCATATTTCTGTAATATTCAATTTTTTGTAACACCCCATTCTTTGGGCAAATTAACAAGAAATAGTGGTTACTGTCAGGAAAATGTTCACTTTGATGGAGACATGACTCACATGATATATATATGTATAATGTTATTAATGTAATATATAATATATATTCTATATATATATTATATATATAATACTTATATAAAATAAATATATTATCTAGCATATCATGTTAATATATAGTATTATAAATAAAATTTAGTATATGTATAAAATCACCTAATTAATGTATTAAAATACATTCTCGATAGTAGATAATAAATGTATATATCGACTATCTATTATATATACAAGTATTATGTAATAGTATAAATGTACATATTATAGTATATTATATATTATTTATGTATTATGATTATGTAACTACTGTTATGTAGTAATATGTATGTATTATATGGTATATATATATGTTATGTTATACTTTATGTATGTTATAGTAGAGTAATGTATATGTAATGATTATACTGTTATGTAAGATATATTATGATTATAATGTATTATATCTATTATTACTGTATGTATAAGTATGTATGTATATGATTATGTACTATATATTATGACCGTCGTATATTATGTATGTATATGTAATATATTAATTGTATTGATATGTATAGTATGTTATGTATGATAATGTAATCGTTGCTATGTATATGTAATGTATGTCTATCTATCTAAGTACTAAGTATATGGAGTATTAGTAATATATGTATGTTATAATTATTATATATGTATATATAATGTATATATTGTGTATATGTTAAATTGATTGTACTATTGTAATGTATGTATAGTTATATGTAATTGTTATTAATTATTTAAGTAATGATATTGGAGTAGGTATATTATAGGTGATGTGTATGATGAATAATGTAATGTATATTATGATAATGTATAGTATTAATGATATATATATTGTATGGTATTCTATTGTTAT